GGGGGAATGACTTGAGCTTCCCAATTCTAGTTTAAAAAAATCCCAGAGAAAGGCTTTACGGGCCCCAACTCAGGTGTTTACTCTGAACCACTTCAAAGGCTCAATATGAGGGGCACCTGGGTGCCACAGTTGGTTAAGCATCTGACTCTTGATTTCGGCTCAGGTCATGAACTCGGGGTCGTGAGATCGAGCCCGAGTCCAGCTCTATGCTGAGCAGGGAGCCTGCTTAAGATTCTCTTGGTCCCTCTCCCTCTGCCTGTCCCCCACCTGACTCCTGTGCAGCATGTGTGCTCTCTCTCTCTCTCTCAAAAAATAAAAATAAAAAAAAAAATGAGGGGAATGCTTAAGTAAGTTATGAGAACCTTGTATAGTGGAATATTATGCAGCCATCAAAGTTATGTTTATGATGGATTTTTAAAAATTGAGATGAGAAATACATGTTAATATCAGAATGTTAATTAACTTTACAGTAAAATCTCAACTGTAAGAGGACAGATTAGAATGAAATACACCAAAATGTTTAATAGTTATTGCTTCTGGGGTGTGCTTCTTTTACCCTCTTCATTTTTTCCGTACACTATTTTTTTTCTACAATAAGCTTATATAACTTTGAAAACAAGGGAAAAAATGTGAAAACTCTGTCACTGTCTGGGCTATTGTTAATAGCCTCCATATGGACTTCCAGACTCCAAAACATCCTTCACACAGCTGCAAAAAATTATCTCACTGGAACTCAGGTCCAGTCTTGGAGCACCCCTATTTTAAAATCATATTTGGTTTTATACAACCAACACAGTAAAATCCAGGCTGCAAGATCCTTCAGCGAAGCCCAATCTACCTGCCCAGTTTGCTCTCCCGCCATAGTCACACCAGACACTTTATATGCTTGCACCTCAACCATTCACAATTCGCCAAATACACTCTGCACACATCTTTATTCTTCTGCACTGTTGTTTATTCCACCCAGCAAGCATCATAAAATTGTCTTCTTCTCTATCACCACCATTGAAATCCTTGAGTCTTTTAGGGGTGATCCAGTAGGGGAGCTCAAATCTTTATGCCTACCTTAAGAACAATTTTCATCTACCCAGGAAGGTCACTTTGTCCAAATATGAAGCCTCAGGAGGCATAAGGGTAGAAAAGGGAACTCATCTGCTCAATGAGATCAGCAGAATCCCCTAATTGACCTCTGAACCAATGCTGGTGACCAGGGCCCAGCCAGACAACTTTTACCTTCCTTGTTACCAGGCTTCTTTCTTCAACCTTCTATCCCAGTTAGCCAAACAATTATACCTTTAAGATGTTAGTAGTATGCCTGGCACATAGCAAGTAAAATGGCAAAATGTTAGCTGCCACTTTTGTTATTCATATCAACAGGGCTTCCTGATTAACATACAAAGGGCTTCCAAAGTTCCAGAACTCAAATTAATATAATTCATTACACTCTGTCCCACACCAGTCTGTGAACTTATAGGCAGGCTAGCTCCAGGATATAGATGCTGATTCATTGGCAGATGTACCAACCTCCCTTGTGATCATCTGCTCTCTATTGAACTGCACTCCTATTACATCCCTTTCTATGTGCCACTGTAGTCTGCTATGTCTTCAGAATGCACCTAGGTGTTGGGAGGGTTTTGTTCCCAAAGATTTTAAGTCATGAATGCCTTTTTTCGTTCCTTAAAAAATTTTTTTTGCTTCATTTCCAGGAATGTGATCTTTGTGTTTCTTTGTTCAAAGTTGCTGATTCGTAGCTTACAATATAATAACAAGCATGAAGCACTTATAATGTGTCAGGCACACATAATTTATTGTTTTATGTATATTTATTTCATTTCAAACTCATAAACTTCCCCTGCTTTACGTGATCAGATACTGAGGCTTGGAGATACTGAATGATTTACCCACTGTGGCAATGTGGCAACTTAGCCAGTGTGACTGAATCAGAACGGAGATCTAAGTCCATCTAAAACCCACCTTCTTGAACATCACACCATTACACCAAGCCAAATGGCAAAAGGGTGTAAGGAGAGTATCTCCTTCAATATTCAAGACATCTTGGGCCAGAGAGGCTAGGTCTACCGAGCATTCAAAATAGATCAAATACTGTCACTGCCCTGAAGGTTTCAACCCTCTTTGGCATAATTACTTATTCTTATGTGATTTTTTTATACCTCTCTACAATAGCTTATAGCACTGGCTTTCTTTGGGTTATTATATCTAGTTGTGTGCATCTTTCTCAAGAGCAGAATGGTGTATAATTATTTATTTTGTCTTACCTCTTCATTCCATACTCTGCGTAGCGCTCGTGCTTATAGTAATAACTCATTGCTTGCTATTGATTCGGAGATAAAGTAAATGAAGTATCATGGAGATGCGTTTGCTTTATCAACTTATAAATAAATGAAGTGCTATTGCATAAACCCGGAAACAACTAAACAAGCATAAAGTTGGAAAATACCAAAGTCACAAATATTCTTTGCCTCTACTAAGTCACTAGAAAACAGCTCAGGAGTTTGTTTCACCCTCCATTCCCAAGTGTTGCTGGCGGGGAGAGAAAAGTAACTGGAGAGAGAAAGCAGACATCCCTGGCATATAGTCCGGTACACAGTAGAATACTTTTTTTTTTTTTTTTTAGATTTTAATTTATTTGACAGAGAGAGAGAGAGACAGCGAGAGAGGGAACACAAGGAGAGGGAGAAGCCGGCTTCCCGCTCAGCAGGGAGCCCCGGGCGGGGCTGCACGGCTCAATCCCAGGAGCCTGGGATCATAACCTGAGCCGAAGGCAGACGCTTAACGACTGAGCCACCTAGGTGCCCCCCAGTAGAATATTTTTTAAGTAAAAGAACACTTCCAGCCCAGAGCTTTTAGGTTCCAGGTTTGTCAGACGGGTCACCTCGTTCTCTCACATAGAGGATGAGGCATTGAGCAAGAATTGTAAAAGGAACGCTGAGAACTACATTTCCCATGATGCCCTCTTTCGCACGCAACGCAGCCTGCGACGTCGCTCCCATGGCAACCCAAGAGTCCACACAATCCGGCCGGTCTCGGAGCTCGCTGGAGTCCTGCTTTTAAGCTGGCCTCAAACGCTGAGCCCACGACGCTGGGGCTGTCGAGCCACGATGCCCAGGTATCACCGCAGCTTTGCCTGCCCCCGGTTTACTCTCCCCTCGAGAGTCTGGCTTTCTCCTCTTTCCACCCCACCTGGAAGGAGCAGGGGAGGGAGGGCCGCTGGGGGTATATTTAGGGAGAGGAGCCCAGGAGGTCCTGTCTGTGGAGGAAAATTCTGGATCTTTTTTGCTTGCAACCCCTGTCTGGATGGTCAAGGATCCCTAGGAACTACCCTTGAGCATATGGATTCAGTCACAGGCAGGTAGAAAAGTTCCCCGAGTAGAAAACTAAGATTTTGAAAGATCATTAAACTCCAACCGTTAACTTATTAAGTAAAAATTTCTTGCAGGCCAAGGAATGTTCTAGAAGCAGGGGTTCAGGCAGTGAATTAGACCACAAAGCCGCCTCCTCAGAGTTCTCCGCATCTCCCCTCTTGGTGCAGGGTTTCAGGACAACAGTAAAGGAGGGAAACTTGAGAAAGCTATGTGAAAAGTGTTAAGATGGCGTTTAAAGGGGGGCCCGTAAAATATATTTTAGCTCTTCAGTTCTGTGATGTCAGTTTTAATTTCCTGCTCTCAAGATCACACCTGAACCTTCTCTGAACAACTTATAAGGAGGTCAGGGACAGAGAGGGGTTCTGGAGTCCATCGCAGAGCAGGATAAATCTGTTTTTTCTCACCTTGTGGATCATGGCCTCATCTCTGTTGAGTTTATGAACCTTAATGTGAAAAATTGTCAGCTTACTTCCCATCGTGGGATAATTGGTTGCACATGGTTATAGTTACAAATTTCACCAGGGGCACCTCCTGCTCTACTCTTTGCTGGGAGCTTGGAAAGCAGATAATCACGTTTTGAAAGAATGGTGTGTAAATGAAGAGCAGACAGGCCTGGACCGACTTTCAGGGGGTTCACCTGTGAAATAAGTGCAGACATTTAGGGACACCTCTCTTGGTCTTTTATAGCCCCTTTCTTCATCCCTGTGTCTTGAATAATTATAAGCTCTCAATAATTTTAGATAATTATATTTAGGTCAAGCCCTAAATGAAATGAATTATCACATTTTGACAATCAGTCGTGATAATCTTATAAGGTTGGTATTCTTTATTGGCATTTTAGAGAAGAAACAGAAGTAAGCCTGGGGAAGAGCACAGAAGCTTGCATATATTAGCTGCTCAATAAATATTTGTTGAATTAATAAAGGAATGAAGAATCCAGAGAGGTTGGATAATTTGCCCAAGTTGGTATATGTAGAAAGTAGCAGATTCATGCTTGGAACACATCAAATCTTGTCTGTATTTTTTTTAGTTCAATACTCCATTTTTCATTTTGGCTTTAATTAAAAAAAGATAATCTTATTTGTGAAAAAATACATATGTTTGTAGAGAGATGAATGGAAAGATGATTTTCAAAATGTGATTTTAGATTATTTTTTTCTTTCATTATGTTTTATATATTAAGACAGGGAATCTTGAGCCAGAAATATAATTTAAAAACAAAAAAGAAAAATTTCAGAAAACAAAGATTGTTTGGTATGCTGGTTTTACATGCTCCCCATTTTCCTAGATGTTGGTAGTTTTCAAGTTGTAGATTTCCAAAATTCTTTGTACATTCATGTACATGTCTAAGAAACTAACCCAGACAGCTTTCAGCCTTGGCTGGAAGTCCCAAAATAAGGCAGGCTCAAATCCTAGCTTTTCATTTTCAGTTTTCTTCTATGAACCAGGACAAAGAAAATGACTAATCCTCAGAGGTTTTATCAGCTTATTGTCCCCCAGGAAATAATGTTGATTTGTTTTATAAATTTAACTGAAGTAAAATTTCTCTGAGCTTGAAATAAATATTGGAAAGCATTCCCTTTGATTCTCTAAATTTTATTTTTCTGCCTCTCCTAGTGAAACTCTCTGGGAAATCGCAAAAGCCGAAGTGGAAAAACGAAGTAGTGGAAGTGAAGGTGATGGACTTGAAATTGGAGAAAAATCTGTTTTCTTCATTGGAAGTAAAAATGGGGTAATGCACTTTTTTCCTACTTTTTCCCCCCACGTATTGTGATGATTTAACAACCAATGGTAAAATTCATTGTAATACTTTGGTAAAAATTTGGATACTTCAGCTCTTCAGCCAGATAACCAGTCTCTGGCCTGCTGGTTACCTTGGAGCTGGTTGTACCTTCATACCTTGTATGAAGGTGTCCTGTGCGTGGGTGAGTGGGGACTAACATCCAGCCTGGGCACTTCTGTTGTCAAGTGGTGTGCTCCGACATGGGCCACAGCAGCCCGGAGGAGAACTTGTTCAAATTAGACCACCTGGCGGAAGAGTCCTCTTTCCCCAAAGCACCATAAATGCTAATCTGATGGCCATAGTTCTGGTAACCTGTACAGCTGAAACACACATATAGAAAACAGAAACATGGGCCGGAGATAGTATGATACATTTACCCTTCATTTATCTTAACTGAAGGAGTCACAGAAACTGAAGGAAACCTGTAGATACTCTAGCCTTCTACTCTGGGGTCCATGGAGGTACGTCTTAGGGCTGATGAACTCTAGAAATGTATGCAAAATTGGGTGTGATTGTGTATCAGTGTGTTTTTATGGGAAATTAGGTTCTCCCAGCATTCTAGCACCTTCAAAAAGGTTAAGTAAGAGCCACTATAAACAGTGGTTGTATAGTTTATGGTTGACTATCTCTAGCAATGGGGAAGTTGTCTTCCACAAGGCAGCCTTGTTCCATTTTCCTTAATTTCTAGTTACAAGAAAACCTGAGTTTCATTGTAACTTCCAATGTTCCTAATTCTGACCTGTAAAATATACAAATACTTGGTATTCCTAATTCCAGGGTCCTAATTCTTGGTCCTAATTCTGACTTGAAACAGTATAGGAATAGGTCTGGTTTTTCTTCTGCTTTTTAAACCTTCAGATATTTTTAAATTGCCCTTCAAATAATTAATGGCAACCACCTTGTCTCCCTGAGTCTGTTTCAGCTTTAATATCTTCATTTCTTTCGGTCATACCTTCTGTGTCATGGATTCCATATCAGTCACGGATTTTCTGTCATGATTTTAGTAACTCTCAACTGGAATTATACTAATGTGTAATTCTCAGGAGGGAATAGAACTTTGGAGGTTTGGCTTAACTGCAGTAGACTAGGTCTGCCAGCTTCTCTTTTTCCAGATGCTGTGCTCCTGTTATTGAATAGAAAATTCTAGTAATCACATAACCCTGTTCACTAAGGTTGAGCTTGAGATCTGTCTTTTTCATATATGCTGTTTTGTCCTTAATTTTCTTAGATTGGGCCCTTTGTTACAGTCTGTTTGTACTTTTAATTACTTTTATTAAAGTGATTCACATACGTGGTTTAAAATGTGCATAAAGTAAATCACCGAACCTCTCCACATTGTTCAGGACCTCTCCTTAAAGCAGCCTTTTTAATATCTTTTACTGTTGTTTTTTTTTAATAATTTACTTCTTTATCTATGAAATAGCTTATAGGCTATTTTTAGACTTAAAATGTTAGACATTATCTGTTGAATTTTTGATAATAGTAGAAGAGTATTTAATTCTAGCTCTTTTTTTTATGATTTTTTTTTTTATTTTTAAGTAATCTCTACATCCAGCATGGGGCTTGAACTCACAACCCCGAGATCAAGAGTTGCATGCTCCACCAACTGAGCCAGCCAGGTGCCCCTAGTTGTTTCTTTTAAACGCTCACTTCTAGCCCCCATGTGCAACATAGTTGTTATAATTTGGGACTAAATCAATATGTTAATTTATTATTTCTAAAACTTGTTTGCTGCTGGGCCAAATGGATTACTTTCTTTTTCTTTCTTTTAAGATTTTATTTATTTATTTGACAGAGCGCGAGCACAAGTAGGGGGAGCAGGGGGTGCTGCAGAAGGAGAGAGAGAAGCAGGCTTCCCACTGAGCAGGGAGCCCGGTGTGGGGCTCGATCCCAGGACCCTGGGATCATGACCTGAGCCAAAGGCAGACGCTTAATCGACTGAGCCACCCAGGCACCCCTCTTTTTTTTTTTTTTTTTTTTAGGTTTTGTTTGTTTATTTGAGAGAGAGAGGACCCTGGAGAGGGTCCTGGAGAGAGCATCCCAGGATCCTGACACCATGACCTGAGCTGAAGTTAGACACTTAACTGACTAAGCCACTCAGGTGCCCCTCTTTTTTTTTTTTTTTTAAGTTTTTTTTTAAATTTATTTGAGAGAGAGAGGACCCTGGAGAGGGTCCTGGAGACAGCATCCCAGGACCCTGAGACCATGATCCGAGCTGAAGTCAGACACTTAACCAACTAAGTCACCCAGGCACCCCTCTTTTTTTGTTTTGTTTTGTTTTTAAAGATTTTACTTATTAGAGTGCGTGTGCACAGAGGGAGGGGCAGAGGGATAGGGAGAAAGAATCTCAAGCAGACTCCAAACCCAGCACAGAGCCCGACGTGTGGCTCAGTCTCATGACCCCGAAATCCTGACCTGAGCCAAAATCGAGAGTTGGATGCTCAACCAACTGAGCCACCAAGGCGCCCCTACTTTTTTTTCTTGAGTAACTTTTTCAGAGTTTTTAAATGCCTTGTTTTTTTATTTGCTTAGCTTTGATGTGTATGTACCTTAGTTTTTATATGCATTAGTTATTTATTGCTACTAGCAGCTTTTTTAAGATTTTATTTATTTATTTGACAGACACAGTGAGAGAGGGAACACAAGCAGGGGGGAGCGGGAGAGGGAGAAGAAGCAGGCTTCCCACGGCGCAGGGAGCCTGATGCGGGGCTCGATCCCAGGACCCTGGGATCATGACCTGAGCCGAAGGCAGATGCTTAACGACTGAGCCACCCAGGCGCCCCAACATAACAGCTTTTAAAACAGCAAACATTATCTCACCTAGTTTATGAGGGCCAGGAATCTGAGAGCAGCTTAGTTATGTGGTTCTGGCTCAGAGTCTTTCATGAAGTTGTAGTCAAGATGTTATCTGGGACTAAAGTCATTATACAGCTCAACTAAACTGGAGAATCAGTTTCTAAGCTTGTTGACATGGTTGCTGGCAAGAGGCCTCATTTCCTTGATGACCGTTGGCCAGGCTTCAATTCTTCACATATACGCCTCTCCATAGGGCTACTTACAACATGGCAGCTTGCTTCCCCCAGAGCAAGAGTTCCAAAAGAGAGCGGGTGCCCCAGATAGAAGCTGCAGCCTTTTATAACCTAATCTTGGAAAGTGACGTGCCATCACTTCGGCCATAAGCTATTGTTCACAAAGACCAACTCTGGTACAGTGTAAGGGACCACACCTGGGTGTGAATACAACCAGCAAGGGGGATCATTCGGGACCATCCTTGAAGCTGGCTCCCCAGCTACGTATTGCTGATTCTTTCCACAATCCCCAACAGGCATTCAGTATAATCTTCATCTAGGCAGTTGTATCAGATCATCTGAAAGTTCCCCTCTCCAGCCAGAGTCCTGCCACCTTTTAACCCACTGTGCTAGTCTGTACTGGGTTCACACGAGCAGCTGCATAGTTACCATCCTTCCCCAGCATCTTGGGAATTCCCTTTGCCTCTTTCTTGAGTTGGAACTTGAGTTTCCTGGATCCTGTGTCTTCCCTGTTGTTGGTTTACTCGCTTACCTTGATGGAGCACATTCTCTTGTAGTTTCCTGGGAAAGCATTACATGGGAAGTAAAACTTAAGAGACCCTGCATGTCTAAAAATTCCCTTATTTTCCCTCACTCTGGGTTGAATGTTTATCTGGGTATAGAATCCTACCTTAGAATGAGTCACTTAACCTTTCTCTGATCCTAGTTTCTATTTGAGTCTGGATTGTTTCCCTTAGGAGTGACAGAAAACTGAATTCAAACTGATGTAAGCACTTTTTTGAATCGTTGGTATCCTCTTCACTATCAGACTTTATCTGTATTCCTCTAGAGATGTGCACATGAGATACCATATATTAATACAGTCAGGTAACAGTCTAATTACCATGACAAGATTACATCTGTTCTGCTCTTTGTTTATTTTCACCCAAATGCACCAAATGCATTCTTCTTGCATGTTTGTAAATTTCCATATAAATACACAAAGTGTGCTGTATTTTCTCTCCCCTTCTGTCTCTATTCCTTTACACCAATATATTGTACTCATAAGTCTCATGCCACAAGTTTTGGTAATTGATAGGAGGTCGTTTTGCTTCCTTGTGATAATACTGCACTTATTATTACCTGTACTGTTGTGTATCTGTTGCTGTAAATATTCTTTCTGGGACTTGTCTCAGCTGTTTCCTCTTGTGAATTACTTGGACCCTCTTCCATTATTGTCTTAAAATTTTTCTTAATGTCATACCTAATGACATCCCAATTTATGGGGGCATTTTTCTCTCATTCTCTCCACTCTGATTTTTTTTTTAAATTTTATTTATTTGAGAGAGAGAGAAGCAGATCCCCTACTGAGCAGGGAGCCTGACACGGGGCTCGATCCCAGGACCCTGAGATCCTGACCTAAGCCGAAAGCAGCCACTTAACCACCTGAGCCACCCAAGCGTCCCTCCACCCTAATTTAGATTGTCAAGTCTCTAGGCACAGTCTTATCATCCTCTTGACGTAGGTTTCCTCTCTTATCAAGTGATGAATCGTTCAGTACCTTAGGGTATGGGCCAGAAAACTGACTAGCCTTTTATTTCCCAGAGCTTCTGTTCTCATCCCAGACCTCATCCTCTAGGTAGAAGAAAAGTGGGAAGGAAGTGACTTGATTTCTAAATTTTTCTTTCTCCAGTTTCCACAGTACATAATCTGGTTGTGAGAAGATGCTTCCTGGGGTTCCTTAAGAGAGAGCAGATACTAGTTACACATCTTCCACACACATCTTACTGATCGCGGCATCCTTTTCCACTGAGCCTGAAGATGACATCTAATCCGTAGCATTCCAGGAAGGTTTTGGCACTTGAGATAAAATTGGTTTGTTATCTCTGGCTCTAGTAATGTCATTTATCACCACACAATTAGGAGAAGTCAGCTAAAATC